GTTAATGGCGTGAGGAGAACAGTTGTCCGAGGGGGTAACTAGAAGACAGAGCCTATTTGACGGACTGACGTGAAGAGAGTTGTAACTGCAGGAACCGACCTGAAGAGCGAACTTATTGGAGGGAAATGACAAGGCAAGGCGGCCAGGAGTGCCGGAGGCTCTTGTGTGCAAGACAAAAGTCGTAAAAAGGAACAGAAGGGTCTCCGAAGGGAGTAATATGAAGAGAGAAGTTATTTGAGGTACTGACGCGAAGAGCGAAGTTATTGGAGCCAAGACAGGAATGAGAGTTTCTGGCTTGTTCAGCTTGAAGAGGCAACTCACTGGAGGGAGGGCCGTGAAGAGGGATAACGGGAAGGGAGAAGTTCCTGGAAGAAATGGCATGAAGAAAGGGTTTTCGGAGGGATTAGCGTGACGCGAAGAGCTATTACACGCACTGGCGGGAAGAGACGTATCTGGTGCGTTGTTCATGTCGGATGACGCGAGAGAAATTCTTTGAAGGGAGTAACCTGAGGAGAAGAGCTGTTGCGGGGCTGGCCTGAAGATATGTATTTGCTGTGTCCATCATTTCAAACCAGGCGAAGAGAAGGCCTTTTCCAGTGACCGACATGAAGAGCAGATATCTTGGAGGGCCCGCCTTGGATAGATGAGTCTTGGGAAGCTGTTATGAAGATAAGAGTTATTTGGGGGATGGCGTGAAGGGAATTGTTTCATATGTTTGTCGTGTCAGATGGCGAGAAGAGAAGAGCTGGAGAGAACTATTTGGTATGTTCGTCGTAGTAAACGAGCTGAAAAGAGTACCTCTTGGAGGAGTGGCATGAAGAGCAGAAATACTTAAGGACGACGTAAATGAAAGAGTTTTCAGAGAGAAGTTATGAAGCTGAAAGGTATTGAGGAAGTGACCTGTAGAAAACAGGCTGTTATGTTCTTCGGTCAAACGACGTGTAGAGAAGGCCGCTCTGAGGTGCCGAAGTGAGGAATGGATCTTGTGGACGAAACGCAGCGAAGTGAAGAGCCTCGGGGTGAAACGACATGTTAGATATGTTCACCATGTCGGAAGAGGGGAAGAGAAGAGTTCTTGCAAACTGACGCTAAAGAACTGCTCGATATGTATAGCGAGCATATGTGTCGTAGCGCGTGTTTTACTCGTCGCACTGGGAACACGCAGGTGTCGGTATGAATGCCTGAGCACTGCAGTCACACACGCTGCTGTATTGAACGCACAACTGGCGAATGCGTACCCGTATGTCTCCTGTCTGCGCGTAGGGAGTGTGCCGCTGCGGAAGAGAGACGGAAAGAAGAGGAAGAGAAACAGCGGGTGATTCGAGCAACAACGCGACAATCACAAGAAATGGTAATGTCGCTCATGTGTATCTGCTAATCATTTGAAAGCTTCCTTTCTATCCGGTTGACGAATCCAACACAAGTGGTAGTAAAGGTGAAACTTGTGATGTTTGATTTGTGTTTGGTTTGCGTCGCTAGCTCACCACGGCAGCGCCGCGGCAATCACAAGGAATGGCAAGTGTCGTTGCTGTGAATGCGGTAGTTCTGCTTATGCTTCCCCACTAGCCGGTTCACAACAGGAGCAGCTGAACAATTACGAGAGACGATAAATGTTGTCCGTTTGAAGGTGCCGGTCGCGCTTTCATTTCCTCGTGGCCGGTTCACAACGACAGCAAGGCGAAGCTCACAAGAAACGCGCGTTCGTCAGGTGATGCTTAATACACGCAGCTGCAAGTCCTGGTGCTGCTCCTTTGTTGCCAATATGTCGCTGGAAACAAACGCTCCCCGTGCGATGCCTATACCAAGCTGCAGCTGCTGATGCTGCTGCTACATTGCCGACGCGTCACTGGAAAGTACAGTGAATTTCCCTTGTCTGAGGGTTATGCGCGGCGGCAGCTGCTGGTGCTGATGCTGCTGCGTTAGTTTTGATACGTCACTGGGAAGCAAACTTTCTTCATGTCGTGTCTACGCTCAGCTGCAGCTCCTGATGCTGCTGCCTCGTACAGCGAAGTAGACGTTCTCCTTGTGATGGCTCGTGGCACGGGCAGCTCTCGATGCTGCTGCACTATTGCTGGTATGTCACTGCGAAACAGCCGCAGCACTACTTATATTTCTCCTGTCTGTTTCGATTCTGTGAGGAGCTATGTATGTGAGGTCGTCTGTGACTGAATTACTAGTCATTCTGGCCTCATGCATACCTGTTGCGGGTGCAGCATTACTAAGTAAGTGCTCCAAGCCTATGAAGAGTTGCGTACCTGAGATATTATTTACTTCGCTTCGTGGTCCTTGTAGTCGCTTGCGTACGTATTGCAACTGTAGAGCTACTAAGCTTTGCCTGACTATTCCGAGCCTACGAGAAGTTGCATATGTGCTACCTTCTCCCCCAGTTTTATTTGTTGTACTGGTCTCTTGCAGACTGTCTGCAGCTGCGGCCCTCGTAAGCTTTCTCCCGGGTGTGTCTACTCTGTGAGAAGCTGCGTTTGTGAGATTCTTCTTCGTTTATCAGTTATATAAGGAGCTCCTGTGTACTTCTTGTGGCTCGGTGTGAATATCGCTGTAGCCTCCTCTGCATACTCCTTGTAAGTTTTTGCGAATGCGCGTATGAGCTCTGCAGGCGGCAGCGTGTGCGACAGCTGCATGCGCATTTCAACAAGACCACGTCTCCTTCCGCTTCTCCGCGTCCCGCGTCCCCGCCCTCTGCTGCTGCTGGTTCTCCTGGCCAGTTAGATGCGCTTGAGCTGCAGGAACTATGCCAGAAGCTTTCTGTGGAACAGCTGCAGGATGTCTGCAAAGCCATCTTTGCTGCTGCAGACCTTCATGTACGACCCCACGTGCAGGGCTACCACAAGACCCGTATACGCCGTAGTCAGTGCAGCCTTACTGCATCGTTTGTATGAAGGAGATGAGTGTGGACATAGCGAAGTGGGGGGCCCGCCGTCGGAAGACACTGCGTTTTTTTGGACGTTGCGTACGAGAGATGAATGTGGGGGGACAACGTGAGTATCCGCAGGGTAGCGTGTCTCGTTTTGTATGTTGGTCAGATAATGGGTACTGCTGTAGTACGCCGCTGTCTAGGTGGAGTAGTATGCGCGAAGTGTTAGGCTTGCTGCTGTCTAGCACTCCTGCGTATATATTTACACACGTTACTCGCACCGATTTGTCCACCACCATGCGGCCGGTGCGTGGAGTCACGTAGCGGGTCCAAAGGATCTCCCTCGCATAGGGGATGTGCGTTTCCGTTGGATCATAGTTTTCCGGTACAAGTATAGGACACCTAGCACGTGTGTGGCAGTGCACAGGCCAGTTTTTGCACTATACTCGTCTTCTAGTGTGATACATAATCTTCAGGAAGATCGCCACTGCCTGCTTCTCTGAAGTAAACTCGCCACTGCTTGCTTCAGAGAAGCCTCTGATGTACTTGGCCCTTTCCGTCTCACACAAAAGAATACCGGATGCGTGCATAGATTTTTTTGAGTTTTGTTCACGAGGAACCGGGCTTGCTAGTAGTTACTTATGCTTGCGAACGCTTCGAGGATATATGTGCACATCTGCTGCAGATACCTGTGGCGGACGAGCAGGGAGCTCCGGCGGCGCTGCCCGAACTCCCGATTTCGGAGAATCTCCGTGTGGGCGTCGCACACATCTTTCTAAAATATTTTCAGGAAGCGAAGGAGGCAGAGAAGGCGCACGAGAAAGAAGCTGCGCTCGAGGCAGAACGACGGCAGGTGAGAGGCCGCTCTCTCCTCGTGTTGCTGCTGCCGCGGCTGCTGTTCCTGCGTCTACACTGTGTCAGTGGGCTCTACGTTCCGCTGGTCGGTGGCTCCTGTAGTCTGCATGTGAACAAGTGAATATGATGATGACGGTACCTGCGGCCAGTGAGCTGCCACTTGTGTTTTACAGAGGTGCCGAGTTCTCTGTCAGGTGATGCAGCCTGCGTTGATCAAGACGTGCATGCATAAAATGTGCACGAGAAACGCAGGTACCTTCTGCTGATGTGCTGAACTCTATAGAGAATGATGCAATCTGAGTTGATCCAGACTTGCATGCGTTAGAGGGTATGCACCGGAAACGCACATGTGTGCTCTGCTGAGTTTTCAAGCTGTATTCGCGGCTATGCAGCCTTTTTCAGGCATAACAAGCCGCGCACTCGAGATGCAAGTATTTCTCTCGTGGCATACGCATGTGTAGAGAGCTTAGCAACAGCGCCCGTGCGCCGCTGATCGCGCTGTCTGTCGCGTACGAGAAACTGACGGCATAAACAGACATTAAGGAAACGTCCTTCCGCTTTTTTCCCATTAAGGTTTCCAGTTTTGTGTGTTTGTGTCAGATGGAAAGGAAAGCGCAGGAAGAGGCCAGGCGACTCGCGCGGCAAGGCAGTTGGACGCCCGATGAGATGTCCTTGCTGGCGAAGGGCCTGCAGAAGTTTCCAGGAGGAACTGCTCGGCGGTGGAAGCTCATTGCTGATCTGGTGGGGACGAAGACGCAAGAGGAGGTGAGATTGTAAATGCAAGGTCAATTTGAGTATGTGCAGGTTTTTTACCGCTACGTATGTAAGTGTACCAATGCGAAGGAGGACGCGGGAGGAGACAGGACGGAAGTCTGCATGTACTCAACATGTTTGCGCGCTATATATGGGTGTGGATCACCGTGCGGGGTATTCGTCAACGGGTAGACGTGTATACGCATTCGGTAGGGGTGGGCGCGAAACCCTGTGTGCTGATATCCCCGCCGCGCACGAATACAGGGCCTACATGCATCGCCCGGTAAGTGTCTTTGTATGTGTGACGTTTGCTTCACCATCGGCGTCTGGCGTAGCGATGTGTTTTCATATCGAAGTGAGCTACCAAAAGCAGAACTTCAATCGATTAGGGGGTTGGCCGAAGCGACACGATGGTGTCGTCGGAATGCGCCTGGCAGGGCCACGCGTGATGTGTCGAGGTGGAATGAAGCACAAAAAGTGCCGTCCGGTAGTGTCTGATGTGGAATGTTTCTCTAGTCGTGCGGTGTATTCACTTGACTCTTAGTGCAGACACACCCAGAGGTCCGTTCACATCGCCACAATTTCGCAGGTGGTGCACCAGTAAGACGTTTTGTTGCGACTTGTTAGCGCGTGTCCTATGTTACATGGGTGCACACGCATCACGACGTTTACTTTTTGCCTCATCGTATGGAGGCCTAGTAGTTGAATCGTCGTGCGGAGAGGCAGAACGTTCTCCCGAGTCAGGAGTCCGGCAGTTGTGATCGTATACTGTTCCTGCGTAGACTTCTACGTGTCGTCCGGTGCGCAGCAGGCGTCTCGATTTAGCGTTGCTCAGCTGTTTTCAAAGAGAGCTCCCACGGCTCTGCACGTGCATGGTGATCTTGTCGGAAGTGGTGCAAGCAGCCTGTATTGTGTTCACAGTCTCTTTTTCTCCTGCACAATTTAGTCGCGTAGGCGGCGCTTGTTGTCCTTCCTGCAGGTTGTGGAGAAGACGAAAGAATTGTCCGAAGGCATGAGTCTGAAGTCAATGGGAGCGAAAATTAGTCAGGTACGTCGATGCTGGAGAGCTGATCATGCGGAGGATGGCTGTCGTTAAGTATTGTTGCTGTGCTTGTCTATCCTCGGGGGTGTGATATGCGCCCGAAGCTTCGTTTTCCCTCCTGGAAATGGTGGCCACTGTGTGTTCAGCGAATACCACTTTATTAACGTTGTGCTATGTTCGTACGGAGTTCTGGGTGCGGGGGTGATACACAATTGCTGGCAAGACTCTGTTTTTTTTTATATACTGACGTGTATGATTAGATGTATGCGCCTTCGCGAGCGGAAATAGACACCCATGTACGTTCGTCGTGCATTCGTCCACAGACGAGAAAGATGTTTCGGGCTGTCCAACTCCGCTAAAAAGCCGCCATGTGGTTCACCTCTGTTGGACACCGACAATAACAGACCGCCGTCACAAAAAGCTGTACCTGTCTTTGAAGCTGCTGCGCTATGAAAACGGCCTGGAAAACGTATGCAGATAGAGGTTACGTCTGTAGGTGTGTAGGCCAGCCTTTGCGCAGTATCTACTGGTAGAGGAAGTGCCGAGACAGTCACGTAGAGGCAGCTGTACTCTGTAAGAAAAGTCGCGCTTGACGATATTACGTAAAGTGCCGCGAGCTCTATATTTCCCACGTGTATATATATATGCAGGTGCCTATTTCAAGCATATCGATCCCCTCTGCAGACACGCGGGTACAGCAGTTGAAGCGGAGTGTATTTTAGTGTTGACTTTGCTGCCGCACGGAAGAGGTACTTCCAAGCAACGAATGGGGTGTTCTCTGCTCTTCTGCTTCGGTAGGTACATACGAAAAGTTTGGGCGGTATACGTGTCTAGTGGCGGACTCATATGGATGTGGGGTGACGCAGACGGAGCCTCTGCCTCTGTAGTCCCCACCAGCGTGTGGCGCTGATTGTAAGCTTTCGTGCCGGGAACGTCTGCTGCGCGCTGCTGAGGGGCGTGCGGCAGAGCGTGCTCGAGGTGCTGCATCCCTCAGCGTGGGCTGTACGCACGTGTCGCTAGATGCCTCAAGATAGGCACTTGTGTGTGAGCTTGCGATATATTTCACATACGTCAGTATCTGTGGAATTGTCGTTCCGTTTCCGCAGGAAGCTTTCAATCAGTTTAGGATACACAACCAGGGAGCGTTCAAAAAGATAGAGACTAATCCGGACATGAAGGACGTCGGGGACGTGCCGGCGGCGGCGACAGCCAGTGAGAAGAGCAGCTCGCAAGCTGCTGATACAGATTCAGCGGCGTGGACCCCTGCCCAGCAACTGGTAAGGACAGGAGGGCTACGGACCGCCCGTCTTTAAAGCCTGCTGCCTTCGATGCTCAGCTTCCGCCGATACGCGTTGTCTCGTGTTTCTGCGTTGCGTGAATCGAGAAGCGCTCTTGATCGGTAGGCGCTAACTTGCTTTCTTGGTTGATGTTTTCCGTTGAAAGACTACGCTCGCGTGCAAGAGCTTTAGCGTCTCGTTTTCGGCCGCAAACGTGGGCTTCCATAGTGAACTCGATGCCTTATCCAGTAGGCTAAGAGAAAATGCTCTTGACGTATGCAGCACTCATACGCGGATGAGCGAAGAAGGCTCCTGGTATGGGAAGCGAAGACGAGAGGCAGTACAAATGTCCTCCCGGTGCCTACTGTCTCCGCAGCGCCTGCTGAAGCTTAATAGAAGTGACTGTGTGGTTGGTAGCCAACGGAACAAGTAGACGTAAACTGTCCTGCGTCGACACGCCAGCGCTTGTAAGAGGGAGTCGCCTCTCAGTAGCGAGGCTTGGGGGTGCACAGACTACTGACAGGCAGTGGCACGCGGCTGCTAGAACCTTGTGGCTCTACTGGTGCCATAACTGCTATTAACCCTATTGAAAGGGCCTGTACTCTTCTACCACATACCCGCACGATGCGGGAAGGTTTCAGCCAGCCGCAACATCATAGCTGCAGCCGTACAGGAACCACTGCGCTATATATACAGTGCGCGTCTTTGTGTATCGTGAGCGCGGAGCTGCGCGGTGGGGCGTTCGACTGGTTGCACACGCTACAACTTTACATCAGGCGACGTAACTGCGCCGCCGCACTCACGTCTACCAGCAACCGTCCGCGCGAGACGCAGGTGCATCGTGCCTGCTCAAGTATTCGAGCTTCGTGGGGGTACGTGCGAAATGCGCAGGTGCGTGTCGTGCCCACGTATGTCGACTACCACTTGAGTATATGTACGCGTGCTGCGTGGCTTGTGATAAGGTCTCGTGTGCCTGCGATATCTCGGCCCTGTTGGTTCAAGATACACACACCGTACGTGACTCCATTTCGTCTCGGTGAGCTTCGATACTTCTCGAAAATACCCACACCGTAAGTGACTCGGTTTCGTCTTGGTGAGCTTCGATAATTCCCATGTGGTAGCTAACGGTACGCAGACGTGTGCCAATGATACATTCATTTGTAGCAGCCCCTGTCACTACGCATGTGCACACAGCGTACGACTACGCAGACACACCATGGCGGTATTCGTTAAGATCCAGATTCCCGCTCGTGCCTCGCACACGACGCTGACAAGGGGCACCACGAGCATGTGTATGAAGATGCCTATATATTCACTGTGTATGTATATACATAGATAAGCATTTTCATACATATGTACATGTATGAATATGCTTGTGTGTATAATTTTACCGAGGACGTCCGCAGTGCCGTAGCTGAGAGCTTGGAACGAGAGGACACGGGCCACTCTCTCTGAAAACTTTATCGCGTGATACCTCCCTTAAGGGGAGCCTCGACTGTCTGAGGCTTTGCTGCGGATCTAACAAGTAGCTCCCCTCTCGTATCTGTTTGTCCGGCCGTACCAACGCAGGCGCTTGAAAAAGCTTTAGCAGAATTTCCAAGCAGTATGCCCGCGAGCGAGAGATGGACTTCGATTGGAAGCCGCGTACCCGGGAAGACTAGGAAAGAATGCGTTGAACGCTACAAACAGGTGGGTGAATTGTGATTCTTTGTCGTTAAGTGGCGATCACTTTCTGTCGGCAACTGTCAAGCAGCTCACGAGCAATTTTTGCGGCGGCGGGTGTGCGCAGGCGCAGCTCTGCGAAATTAATTTTGGGTCATTCTGTCGTGCGTTGCCCTCGCTGCTGCACTACACGTCTATACCTGTGGAGAGGAAGACATGCTTGTATGCGTGCTGCTCTCTGTCTCTCTCTCTCGCCACAAGCTACACTTTGAAAAGCAATCTGTCAACGGGGAAATACGTAATTTGTTCGTTTGTACGTTCGGGTCTTGCGTGTCCGGCTAATGGCTTTTTACTGGATAATCATAGACTGCGACTTCATGCACGCTTCAATGCCCCTTATGTGGTAGACAGTTTGACTTTTTTGTGGCGTCGTTCCGGTGTGTTGCAGATTCGAGCGGCGATTCTCCAAGCGAAGAAAGGTGAAACGTCGTGAGTCACCGGTTTTTTTCCAGTTCCGGGGAAAGCCACAATGATAGGCTGTTCAGGCATGGGCGGTGTAATTCCGAAGTGGAGGGTGCCTGCGGGGCTGTATGCTTCAGTGAACTGTTTATACTCAATTGATGGGCGAGAAAAGTGCGCGCTTTCCGTTTTCTGCGAATGTCGCGCCGTCCCCTTCCTAACGTCGTGTACGTTGTCTGCGTAATCACTTGAATTGGCGGATACGTATGAAATATAGGCTGTTTTCTTTCTCTAACGGTCGGTTCCTTCGCCGTCTGACGTCCCCGCATGAATTACTTGCACGTCTACACGCAATAGTGATAACCTTCAAAGTCGTCCCACCGGGCAAGCAGTCGTGGTTGTCTGTTTTCGAACATGCGTCCAGCGTCTGTTCAACATTTCTCCGCGTGCTTTACGCGGATGAACATACAATGATTCGCGTACGCGGTCGTCTTGTTAGTGTGTAATTATGAGTCGGGGAGCACCTGCTTAGAAGATGCGAGTGTAACCTTTGTTTGTACACCGTCGTTCGGCCGTCTGCCTAAGTCTACATTTTGGGCCACTTGGGTGGCTTTGCACTTGTTACGTTGCGCCACTCGTTCTATTTCGTAGAACAACGCTTTGAAAGGGCCTGCCGCCTCCCCAAGGGCGCCTTATTCCTTTCTGCACAGCCACGTCTCTTCCGTGAGATATCGCGTGCGCATGCGTAAGGTTTTATTATAAGCGATTCGCATCTGGACGAACTTACTCGGGTGTAGGCTGCGAATGCTGTTGAACGATGTAGACCGTACGTGTGTACGTGGCCCGCAGCGTCCGCGCCCACGTTCATGCACTCCTCTGTGTGTCAGTATGCCGGATACCGTTTGCCTAGACTGAATTTTGGAGGCGCCCCAAGGAGAATTTCATTTTTATGGTTAGTTCAGCTTCACTAGCGGAGCTGCATACGTATTTTTACAGAGCAACACGCGCGTTGCAAGGCAAAACCTGCTGTAGACGTTTGTACGCGGGTGGCGGTTGCCCATGCCGGATTTTGGAGCTGTGAAGATAATCTAGATGCAGGCGGGGTTTGTTGGTACCCGTGCTACAAATAGAGAGCAATCAACAGAAAAGGCCTTTCTGGAAGATGGGTGGGGGGCTGCCTGTCTCTCTTCCACTCTCTTCGCCGGATAAGTCGCTGGTGTGCCCGCGTCGGCGGGCTATGAAGCCACCAGGGAAGCTCATGTGCATAGTTAGTGTGTGAGCATCTGCATATATCCGCGTGTGTAATAATATAGGTTCTTAATGTGCCCGATTATGTTCTCTCGGGTGCCCGTGCTTCCGCGCCCGCACGGTGTACACTCGGCGGCAGCCACAGTCTTCAGCTTCAGCGTTCAAATAGGAGCGTGTCTCTAGAGCAGCTGACTCCAGCTCCTAAGAGCAAGGAGCGTCATCGTCAATATAGAGCAGCAACGGAGAGAAAAGACAGGGCGCTGCTCTATATTTTGCGGTTTCCCTTTCGGTCTTGCAGTTGCAGAAAATTCGCGCGAGAGAAAGGATACGGCGCTGCTGTATATTTCGCAATTTCCCCTTCTGTTTCTCAGTTGCAGAACATTGGCGTGAGAGGCAAGACACGGGCGCTGCTCTTTAATTCGCGGTTTCCTTTTCGGTGTCCCAGTTCCAGGGTATTTGCGCTCTTTTGCTTCAGCTTTTTTAATTGTGTATACATAACGCGCATGAAGGAGGCTGTGCAGGTGACACAGGAGTTCAATATATATATATATATATATATATATATATATATATAACGCCAGCCCGTCCAGGACCAAGGAGATGCACAAGCGAGAAGAGATATTAAACAGATGAAGAATAATGACAGTCAGCCGAGGAACGCAGTATTCGCCCCGTCCACGGTGAGCAGCTTTTAGATTACCGGGCAGCTGCAAGCAAGCCATTAGCGCTTTCCGGTTCTAGCGCACCTGAGCGCAACGTTGCAAGTTCCGCGCCTGCGACAGAACAGTGAGTACGATGTGGTCGTCGTAGTAGACTGCGAAACACGGGAAGTGTCATGCTGTAGGGACCGTCGTAGTAGCATTCGTGAATGGAGTAGTACTAGTAGCAATAGTAGCAGTAGTAGTAGATATGAGTACGATGTGGTCGTCGTAGTGGACTGAGAGGAACACGAGAGGCTCTACGCTGTAGAAACCGTCGCAGTAGCACTAGTGGATGAAGTAATAGTACTACTAGCAGTAGTATCAGCAGCAGTAGATATGTACAGCCATGCTAATGCGTAGGAAGCCATCAGCAGTCAGACGGTCTCGCTTAATCCGCCACGTACCTCTTTTTCGTCTCGCGCCTAGGGGCGAAGGAGGCTTTGAGGACTGACGGGGCAGGCAAGGCCACTTTGTTTCGCACTTCACGCTGAATCTGGAAAGGCAACATAAAAGTGAGAACGAAATGGTTCCACGACAACAAAAATCTGAAACGAGCTGGATTCAACGGGCTACAGCACGGCAGGGACAGGTATGATCATGTGACTATTTATAGAAACCGGCAGGTACCTTTCAAAAGGGAGCTGCATGATCTTTTCGATTACGTACTATGATCATGTGACAGTCAGTAGAAGCGGAGAGTACCTTAGAAAAGGGAGAAAGCATAATTTCCAGGGTTACGCACGTGAGATCTACATGAACCAGAAGCCAGCATGAGCGAGGGCCGGCGGGAAGGAGACGAAGCTGGCCAGGGGAGAAACAATTTACGCTAGCTCCGAGCGAGAAAGTAGAAGTAAACTGCCGCTTTCCTTGGAATGAAGGAGTTCAGCGCAGGAGACTGCGTGTCAGTGTGGCAAGGTGTACGGATTACGCCAGTTGTGGGGAAGCTGGAGCAAGGCAGATGCGGAGGCCATCGTGGCGAAGGGCCCGTTGATACTATGTAGGGACGAGAAGGAACGTATATTTGTGTATAATTACACCCAGCAGTAAAGGCCTATGTACGCCCCTGGTGCGTATTCACGCAAACGTACTAGGCTATGTATGTATAAACGCCTACATTATAGGCCTACTACCACGTCATATTCTTGAGGAACGTAGCCTACAGAGTGCATATATGTACATATATAAGTACGGCGCCGCTTGCATTGTGCCAATTGTGCGGGAGAAGATAGGAATATGCCTCCACAAAATCGTAACGCGGAGGCATACAATTTTACCACAGAATCATCGAGAGCTAGCCAGAGGGTTCGCGCTTCTCCCTTGAGCAGCTAGTGGTTGCAGTGCATGAACGCCAGTGAGACGAATACTTGACGATAGCACGACGTCCATCAAGCTACGACGACAAACAATCTGCGGGAGAATATCTTTCTTACACACGCCAAGATGGTTATAAGAGAGGACAGTCCGTCGCCTTCTCTCTCTCCCCGGTGAATGAGACGAATACTCGACAATAGCACGAAATCCATCAGGCTACTAGGACAAGGAGCGAATATCTGCCTTAGACACGCCAAGAAGTTTATGAGAAGGAAGGACAGTCGTATGAATGTGAGAAAGCACGACATCCATCAAGCTACGAGAACAAGGGATCTGCGGGCGAATATCTTTTGTAGAAACGCCAAGCAGGTAGTTGTTGCGTTTTATGAGTGTCAGTGAGACGAAAGCTTGAGGATAATTCGGCATCCGTTAACTACTACGACAAGAAATCGACGGGCGAATATCTTCCTTAGACACGCCAAGTAGTTTAGAATAGAGTAGAGCGAAACGGTTCGTTGCGTTCTGTTCCCTTCGGCGTACGCGCGTTTCTGTTGCTCGCTCATCTCTGAAAAGGTCGTGCGAGAGGACTGAAAGATGGAATCAGACTCGTTCTGTTTTACGCGAGGGTATTACCTGCAGTGTTATATCTTCCGTTGCATTTTCCGCGGTAGGTGTCTGATAGGGCAGAAAAATCACGCACAACCGCATCAGAGAAAACAACTTGTTTGTGAAGGAGGAGATTCCCGTACGCTTGGACGCACACTGATCCGCTGGGGAACACTGCCGAATTTTAGGGCTAGCAGACGTACTTACTAGTAAGCTTATACATATGTGTATGCATATGTACATACACATGTATATATATACGTATATAAATGTATATAGTTACTTTGACCCGGTTAAACGCGAATACAGCTGCATACGTTTACGTTTTTTTAATGCCTATTACTACTCGAAAAAACGTCGCGTAACCGGCAGCTAGGTGGAGCACACGATTGCAAACGAGTAGCTGTCCAGTACTTGCAATAGATGCACAAATATCGATACAGTAGCAGCAGGGGTACTTCAAAACGTATACACACGCTCGCAGTCAAGGAATCTCGATACCCGCACGTAGAGACAAGTGTAGTGAAGCGCACGGCCGACTGAGTCTGGGTCACCAAAAAGACTGAAACCAGATCAGTTCTGCAGGCGCAGACTGAAAGGAAAAAATGGGCAGTCATGCATGAAGAGGCAGCAGCCTCTTACCAGGTGGAATGCAGACGTTGCCAGCCTGAGAAAGCATCATCCAGCTTTGAGGGCTGAAAAGGAAATTGGGTGACCAGCTGACGTCTGGCGATACGAAGTGGTGAAGATTTTTGACATGGACGCTTCTGCGTTGAGACGTCTGGCGATACGAAGTGCTGAATATTCCTGACATACGCTTCTGCGGTGGCGTCTGGTGATACGAAGTGCTGAGGGTTTTTGACCTATACGCTTCTGCGTTGGCGTGCTTGGGGGACCGCATAGACAGCCATGCTCTTAGCTGCAGATGTGGCACGTCCCGCCCGCATGGTCGTATGAAGCACTATCTCCGGTGCTGGACTTTTCCAGATCTAGACAGACAAGCATCTATAAGTATCTATCGTAGTATTACTTATGAGTGCCTGTGTAACGAGCGCACAGGGAAGAAAAAATTGCACGTCTTCTAAGATGATAAGCACGCGGAGCCGCAAAATGCCGCTGCAAACTCCTGGATCCAAGCTGGCACACGCGTATTATTCTCTGCCACGCGTGCAGGGACACCCAAGTCTAACAAGGACGCAGAAAGGACCATCAGGTCACGCACTCGTAATCTGCTTCGCTAGCAAGAATGCTAAGAGAACCTTCAGATCACGCACTCGTACTCTGCTTTTTCCCTGGTTACTGTCTCGTTTCAGATCTCGCAAGGCTGAGAACACTAGAATCACGCACTCGCAATCTGCTTCTTCCCTAGTTACTGTCTCTCTCTAGCTCTCACAAAGCTGAGAACCTTCAGATCACGCACCCGCAGGCTGCTTCTTCAGCAACGACGTTTAGGGAACGTTCAGACCACGCATCCGTATGCTGCGTTCCTAGTTACTGTCTCTTTCTAGCTCTCGCAAAGCTGCGCGTCCCCCGCACGTGAACGAAGTTCTCATGAATGACCACGCGCTCGTCAATTGCTTCCCTGGTCACTGTCTCTTTCTAACTCTCGCAGAGCTGAGGACCGTCAGATCCCGCACCCATAATGTGCTTCAACAGTAACTGTCTCTTTCTAATTCTTGCGAAGCTGAGAACCTTCAGACCACGCGCTCGCAATCCGCTTCTTCCCTAGTTACTGTCTCTTTTTAGCTCTCGCAAAGTTGAGAACCTTCAGATCACGCACTCGTGATCTGCTTCTTCTCTGGTTACTGTCTCTTTCCAGCTCTCCCCAATCTGCGCGTGCACCAGCACGTAAACGAGGTTCTCAAGAATATGTCGCGGGATTTTGTGCGCGCGCTCTACAAGCCCGTCGCTTATCAGCAGCCAAGTCTACAACATCCCTCTAACAGTTGATACAGATTATGTATGTACATGAACCTGTTAGAGTCACGCACTCTGGCGCGTCCGCCAGCACCTGCATATATATATATACATATATGTATATATATGTATATGTCTGCGCATGCGCCCATGACTGAGATACCCAGTGGCCGCACCTGCTTGCATCTGCGCATATATATGTATACATATACATATATATATATATATATTATATATATATATAAACAAACGCGTAAGAGAGCTACACGCTGGCGTATCTGCATGCACCTGCTAACTACCCTAAACGTATACCGCAGTGTTCTTGTGAACGCAGTCCTAGCGTCGGTCCTGCACAGCAATACCCTCGCTTATGCGAGACAGTCGGTGATGGGCATTCCGAACGTGTGCGCACGTGGGAACATCAGCTGTCCAGCGTCCCAGCGTACGGTGTCAACGAAATTGTAATATTTTATCGAGGACACGCGTACAGTCACATATATATATATATACATGCAAATACGGGCAAATGTGCCAGTGTCCATAGCTCTGACATGTCCGTGCACAGACATAATGGGTACCAACAATGCGTGCTGCCGGCTATCATTGCTACGTGTCAGTTCAGGTGCGGCATGAGGCGTGCGTGAGACGTGGGCACGCTGCAGATATGTGAGACGAGGTGTGCCCGTCAAACCCACGCTGTGTCTGCCTCTTCTAGACTCACCTGGTATATACGCATTTATGTATGTAGACCCACGTAGCCCGACATGTATCACCCACGTAGATACCTTTAGCAAGCTGCCTGTCGCCCTCTCTCTCTTCTTTCTTCATCGCAAAGGAATGGCAAGTACATCATGCATGAGGCAAAACACCACTCACCAGACTGCCGTGAAATCCTGGTAGCATCCTGATTCTTCCTCCTTACACGGAAAGCTAAATTCGCACCGGCGCTCCAGCTCCCTCTTTCGAGGGTGCCTTTTTGATTGCGATCATCGGTACAGAGACAGCGAGCTTATCATACCTTCATCGGCTCCGAGAAGGACTGAAGTTCCATTACAGGGAGGCACGGTCCTGAGTACTGCAAAGCGCACAGAGATAGTGCGGGCACTTTCGGTGTACGGACACCAGGGGAGCGGAACACGGGCAACAGAGGGCTGTGCATGTAAGGCGCTGTTTCCGGTAGCGTTTTAAAGAAGGGCTGCGGTTCCATCACAGGGAGGCACGGCCCTGAGTACTCTGCGAGCCGCACAGAGAAACTGCAGGCACTTCCTGTGGACGGACCATCCGAAAACGGAACACGTGCAACAGTAGTAGCAGTAGCTGTGAGAGTACTCGTAGCTGTAGCCGTAGTAGTAATAGCAGCAGGCTGTGCATGTAAAGCCCTGTTTCCGGAAGCGTCTTCCGGGCTGCCACAGCACACCAACCGTGTACCGGCCGGTGGGGAAACACAGGCAAAAGCTGCACAGCTGAGCCATACCTGGTCGAGATGATGATGATGACAAGACGCGTAAATACAAATCCCAGACCGCTGACAGACTGTCACTGCTGTCCTCTGTCGGAAAGTTCTAAGTACGCCATAAGTGGAAGCAGAGCCTGGCTGAGGCTCACAGCGATGTCAAGTACTACAGCACAAAACGAACAGGGTGGACTATTCTACCCTGTTCGAGATACTTATTTTTGGCTGTCCACCGTAGCAGACTACCCAGTACGCCTGAATCATAGCACCGCTTTGCTAATTCTGATGCTGGATGAACCACAACAGCATGAAACGGACAGACTAGACTATTGGTCGACTATCCTTGCTGTCCCGTCTGGACGGACTTCCACGCACGATTGACCCTCTGAGCGCAGCTCAGCTAAGTTTACGACAGCGTAAGAGGGGCAGGATAGTGAATTGATAGACTGCTATCGTCCCGTTGATAAACTTCCAGGTACTCGTGAACTTAGAAGATGGGAGACTGACGTCTATCTGTGTGGAGCAGCGCGAACCGAAATACTAGCACGGCGACGAGGCGCCAACTTGAGTTCACCTGGTAACACGTGCTAGCCAGAGGGAGAAGTATGACGGCAAGCGCGAGACGAAGTCACGGTGCGGCAAACACCAACCAGCAAGACGCGAAGACGAAAGCGCGAATTCATAGCAGTAAGCGTACACGCGGCGTCGGTGCCGAAGGCGGGTGAACCCTGAATAGCGGCAGTCGACAACTATTCCGGAGCACGCGGGTTTGTACAGAACAACGGAAAAAGGAAACACAACTACTCCGGAGCACGCCAGTTTGTACAGAACAACGGCAATAGAAAACACTTGAGACCGGCAGAGCAGCGCTGGCGCTTCATACTAGCATCCCCTAGGAAATTCTACTGAAGCATAGGCGCAGCGGACGACACTGAAGATGACGAAAGCAGCCTAGCCGGTTAAACCTGCGAGTACCTTGTGAAAGGCTTTGCAGAGAATTCCGCCGGTTCCCGCTGAGAGCCGATTTTTGGCGGGCAAGAGCGGAAAGTGCGCGCCAAGCACGTGGCACAGACACAGAACCCGCGGCGAGCTGATGTAAGCTGTCTGTCGTCACGCGGAGCCAGGAGATTCCCCACCTGGTGAACATCAGCACAGTACAGCAATTAATTTTTCCGCGCACACAGAGATAACGTTCCCGAACCTGTTTGGAGCCCACCCCTACAGAGTCGCACTCGCGCAGGCAGGGGTTTTCGGGCGCGAGGTAATGAAACAGCGTCAAATGAACGCTGAAGCAGAGGTATTAAGAAGCTTTACCTCGGGACAGGGCGCCCGGTAATCTTTTTCGCAGTAGGGCGCGCATGGCCAGCTCACGCCGCACCGGCCTTCCAGACGCGTTTTTCGGGCTAATTTGCAAGCGGAAAAAAGATCAGGGGAGTGACACATCGTCTCGGAGAATCGTACGAGCGGCGGGAGTGAAGGGGTGGGCTGGCCTTTTGTGTCTTACCTCTGTGAAGCGCAAGAAAGACTTAAGCCTCTCGCAACGACCTGTTGTGGCACTTCGAATTAGGCACGCGGGCTGTCAACGAACGGAATACTTGTTAACGCGCCACCTGTATACGAAGCAGGCGCCTCACAAACGTGGTCACTGTACTCCTTCTAAAAACAACAGATTGTGAGATATTAGTGACAACTCGTTTCACAGTGCGGCAGACGGAGTTACCCAAGAAGCCGGGCAAGGATTCTCGTAGTCCTTCTCGCACTCGGCGGAGTCTGGCCAGCTCACGTGACAAATCGTCTCAGTTTTCATTTTGAGATGCGTTTCTGTAGACATTTGCATTAGCGTCTGCAAGCGAGCGAACAAAACTCGTACAACACGCATCCTAGGGCGGGATCGCTCCATTCTCTTGTATGCTTACGGCACACGGCCCGCGTGTAGCTGGCGGGAGCTTCGCACGTTTCTCCGTCTCCCACCGAGTGCCATCCTACAAAACCGGTTTCTGCAGTACTAGCAATTTCGGTTGCGTGTAGCAGTCCCACCCTCCCTCTGGGCAAGCCGCGAAGTAATCTTTGGCTGCCTCGATGCAGTGCAGCTTGGGAATCCACAATGAAAAAATTGTATAATTGAGTATGATTGCTCGAAGGCGTACAGAAATGGCGGCGTGGAAAGCTGGGAAGCGCTCCATCCTATCTGTGATGTCGTGTGCAGATTGTCTATGGCAGTCCAGGTGTAGTCACCACGCGTCTAGAGACTGGTTTGCAAAAGCAGGAAGGGGGATTTGGATCGCGCAGCGGTTCCTTCCAGGTTTCAGGCCGGGAGCCGTGTACGTACACTGGAAGCTCAACGGATACACAACCTTTTGCTACTGTAGTGCGTTGAATTGAGCTGAAACGATCGCGTGCAGAGCGTTTTCACACCTACAATATAAGGCCAGTCGAGGACGCACACTTTTATTGTAGGGGGGAAAGCCTGCTGATCTTACAACTGCGTACGGCAAAAGGCTCACGTACGCCGTGGACTGATCACGTGAATCTCGCAAACCGATGCCTGCTTGCTTCTAGGCACCTGGAAACCTGTCTTCTATCAGATTAGCATGTTATCCGGCACGCTCTCTCGTTACTCGTGGAGTCCTGTTGCCCTCTGCGTAGGCGGCGCGTTAGCTACAGGGTCTATCGCCTTCCGGGGTGCGGCACGAAAGCAACGGCTCCAGCTTTCTCCTCAGGCGCTGCTAGCAATAGCAGGAGCCGTAAGCTGCGCCCTGGAGTAGGCTGGGGATTCGAGCATCAATCTCTGTGCGCGTATGGATACAGGGTATGTGCACACTGCAAAATGAGCTTGCCTGTGCGTGCACCGGCAACGAAAACGTTCTGCACCGATTGCAGCTTGTCGATAACTAGCAACTGCATTGTAAGTGTCTTCTGCGTGGACGCGTGAGTGACATAATGTATTGAAGAAAATTTCTCTCGCGCTGCGCCCGCCTTCGGAAACCTCACGCTCTTCGTTGCCAGCAGCAGACGCGCAGAATAAGATAATGTGCCGGCATTTGTATCGTGCACTAGTTGGGGCGCGGCACCCACATAATACACTGTACGTTCGGGCGGCTGTGAATCTACGCAGTAGTGAACATTGCACCTGCGCAGGGGACAGATACAACCGCAGCGGTATGCGCGGAGAAGCCGTCGACCGGACATTCTTCGAGGCACCTCCACACAGCCACAAACTCGCGCCACATGCGCAAATGTGTAGCGTGTGCGGGTGCATGTGTGTGTGCGTGCACGCCGGCAGGAAGAGCTCCGGCGTGTGGGCCCTTCTACGCGAATAAATCATAATCATGTAAAAGCGTGAACCTATTTGCTACGGCGAGAGAGAGGACGTCCCGTACCTAAGCGTGAAAAAGAGGAGGAGTACACGGGTTCGGTGCGCGGCGTTGCGCCTGCGCACACGCCGCCAAAAAAATGCCTCTACCCTTCTACTCCTGCAGAGACATGTGGACAACGGGTTCACTTGTGGGTGAACATTAGAGCAGAATGTGGAAAGAAGACCGACCTCAGACAGTATACATCGTGCACGTACGACCGAGAGAGCAATTCTCGGAGTGGCAGACGAGACACACGCAGCTCATGTGCTGTCCGTCGCCAGGAGCGCGTAGGACGACGGCGAGGATTAAGTACTCACATACACATGTATACGCAGCCGCAGAAATTCTGCCGCTCGTACGTAGCTGCGGCGTCCGCGTGTAGGCGGCCGCACACAAGACCACACCCAGTTGACCGATTTGATAGCGCCGACGCTTACATAGACCTTTTAGAACACGGCCCTCGCCCGCCCTTCCATGCGCATGGCTCAGGCATGCTATCCGGTATCTTTGATGCTTACGTGTCTAGATGCTGACCACGCCCAGTCTCCGTCGCGTGCACGCAGTTCTGTTTCGCCGATCCCACTGCATCGGCGGCCCATACTGGCGTGGCGCATTCTGTCGTGCATTGCACCACAAGAGCGCCGCAGCGGTGCGGTGTACCGTCCAGATCCGGCTCACCACCTCTACGCAGAGAAGTCGCTAGAGTGGCATACAGGCCCCGTCCCGCTGACGTGTAGCGCCGCTCTGGCTTATCAGATGCACGCCTTCAGGTGGTCACACACACTTAGGAGGGAAAAAGTATTATCATGTGTCCATGCCACCTGCGCGAGCTCCACACAGCCGCCTGTAGATGCATTTTACAGGAGGCTTTTGAGAGGAGCTCCAACACACGCCGGGCTCCGCCCGGCGAGATTTTCTGAGGCCTAGTAGTATGCGTGCGAGCTGTCCAGTGATAACACACTCAGGAACTCTGTTCGATGCCGCGTCCTGGGTTCGCGTTCATATATATGCACACGTACTGTCTATACCGATTGGATCCCGATATATACATATACATATACGGGCGTGTGCGTTTCCAGAAAGGCGCAACGTAGCAGATTTTACTTTCAAATTATAAGCCACGATCATGTTTCCGCCGCATCTGCTTCAACTGTACAGCTGTTACGTGTATACTGCTGAAGTGTTCCGGCCGTCTTTTCTGTAAACACTTTCCTGAGTGGCTCTACGTGACCTTCGCAGCGACCTGGCGGATGATATGCGTTGCGCACGCAAACGAGCCGCCGGCCCGTGTGAGCCTCCGCACAAGAAACCGCGCTGGTGTCGTTCCGCCGTGCTGCAAGGCGTCGGCGGATATCTATTGACGAACGCGTCCTCGTATGTGCGTGTTCCAGTCGAGCAAGCAGGCTGTTCGATCACATGCGCACGTCACATTTACCTGCATCTTACAGGGGAGGGACTGGGAGATATCAAGGCACGCAAAACCACAAACAACCACTAATAATTTCACGTCATGACCGCGCATGTTCCCTGTGGACGACCAGAGGCTCCCGGGCTTCGACTTCGTCCCTGAGCCTCTGTTCTTTCAGTTTCTGTATGCGCTGCATTTGCTGTACCAGTAGCTCGACGCGTCCTTTCACTTTAACGAGCGCAGCTTCAGCTCTGCGTCGCTCCTCAACCTGCAAGAGCAGCAACACGAGCTGCTCTCTCCCCGCCTCCGTAGTCCCAAGCATCACCCCGTGCTGCTTCACAAGCTCCTCAATCCATGGCCCTTTAAGAATAGAGGTAGCAGGGCTATTTTGCTGTTGCTGCACAAGGTGCTGCAGGAGTAACAAAGCGCGCGCCGGTGCCAACGATGCGACAGCCGCTGCGACTTCTTTTTTGTCCTTTGCTGTGCTACTTAGCACAGACTCGAGCAACCGTGCATCAGAGGAAACTAACGCTTGTCGAAGTATTGAAGCCACACTACTCCTTTCTGCTCCGGGGCCTCCCACCTGCTCATTCGAAGCCAGTCCGCGTGCCTTGGGGCCACCTGCCTGCCCGTCACCGAGGGTAGACCCCTCTGTATTAGCGTGCGCCTCGCTGCTGGATGCAGCGCCTATCTTCCGCTTCCAACTGACCGTAGGCAGCCCACGTTCAGCACCAGCAATAACGCCGTCTGCTTGAGCGATGTCGTCGGTCTTGAAATGCTCTTCGTTCACATCTCCCCGCACGCTCTGCGTAATCGCCTTCGCCGGCAACGGCCTAAGAGCACCATCACAACACTTGTCAGCGCTAGTCACTAGCAGCGGCAGGTACGCCTGCTGATCAGCACCGTTAACATGACAGTCGGAATAGGCAGGGAGTATTACGGAGGCAAACAACGGTACTGCGTAACTCCCTCGTACAACACGGAGGAGCAGCTCGTGTTGCTTGCGGGTTATCGACTCTTGGGCGGAGGGCTCGCCTTCGGCTTCGGATGTGCGTATTTTTCGACGGCTCGGTTGAAGAGCCTCCCCGAGCATGCGATTGCTCGTATCTTCTTCAATGTACCACACCCCCGGTCCATGTGCAGCCGCCGCAAGGGCGGGTCGGGTACTGAACTGTTTACTGGAGACAGTAGATGGAGAAAGGCACACACGATGAGCCGTATCCACCTGTAAAAGTAGCTCTATCGAAAACGGTGCAGCTGTAGCTTCACCACTCACAGCTCTAAAGCAGCCCCACACTGCAATGACGCTACTCCTAGAAAGCCCTACGAGCACCTGACCAGGCTTGCTTCGCTCAGCTTGTGCGTCCGCCGCCTTGTCCAGCGTGTGAACGCCGGGATGGGCTCTCTTTTCTGTCGAGCTGAATCCCGCGACAGGCAGCAGCAGCTGCACGAAACTTTCAAAGAAGTGCGTGCTCGCTGCGGGCGGCAACTTTTTGCGAGCCGCTGCTGCGCCACTGTCCGACAAGCGGCCACCTCTACTAGGCAGGCGCCACACCAACAGCTGCGCCTGTTGCTGATGTGTGGTCCTGTGGAAGCACGCCGCAGCATAATCAAGTTTATCGTGCAAAGCAAGAGAACAGCAACAGTCGCCCGATGCCCCGGAAAGCTTCAGCCACTTTTTGCGCTGAGGTACATCAAAAAGAAATAGCACTCCGGTGCGTGGAGACTCGTCTGATTCCATGTGCTTATCCGCTCTTCGAGCACTGCCACACCCCAGCAGCGCAACCTGGTGTAACTGTGCACTAGAAAAACGCCCGTCCTTGTGTCCACCGGCCGGAATCAGACGAGAGGGAGTGGCCATCAGCGTATAGAACTTCGAGAGTGCATCCTCCTGCAGAACGCTGCCATCTTTAACATTGAGGAGATAAATAATACTACCCGCCAAGCAGCCGACTAGTGCTAAGACTGCATCAGTCCGCCCTGAAGGGTTTGTAGGTCATAGACGGCTGAACGAGGCCTCGGGTTCATCGCCGTTGCCGCCAGCGCTGTAGCAGCGCCACTCCCCTTATGCTCCCTTGAGACATTGTTAATGTTGTTGTGATTTGCCACAGTAGCCTCGTTTTCTCCTTCAGTATGTGCGTCCCCCAGATACACTGCATATAGCAGCTTGCCGCCGCACCGGCCACCCACATCCGCCGCGGCCACCATTCCTTTGTCCGTTCGATCAGAAGCACGGTACCATCGTTGTCAATCTCGCTGGTCTCGCTCGATTCATCGTCCGTCATCGCTTGTGACAGCGTCTCCCTGCCGCGGTTTCACACAACAAACACGTCGTTTCAGGCGCTGTGGTGTCGGCGCAAAAAGGACGGCGTGTATACTGTGGCCGAGGAATTGCCTACTCCATTCTACTTCGCCTTCACGCTGTGTTGCTTGTGGTCCGGTGGACCCCCCGGCTGTACAGCCAGCAGAGACAGCAGGCGCACAACTGTTGACGGCTGCCTGCTGACCACTTTCGTCCCGAGTAGCCTCCCAAACTTTAACGCGACTCCTACACGCCGATGCCGCTGCGTGAGCTGCGGCCGGGCGTTTCTCTTTCCGTGGCTGCGGAAGCGAAGAGACGTAACGTCGATGAAAAGCGAGAGACAGCAGGGAAAGGAAACACCCGCTGACGAAGAGCAGCCTCTCTAGGTAAGCGTGCTTTGCCTCCTTGTCCACGCCGGCCGAGCGGACGTCCTCCCGGACGAGGACTGGACGCGCTCATCTCGCCGTCGTGCTGCCACGAAGTGCACAGGCCTCAAAATGCCTGTAGCTGTAGGCAGCGGCAGAGAACCCAGGAGCTCTCTACGAACATACATATAGCATAATCACGGACCTGTGGCTAGCACTTAAAGTGGTGGGGGTGTAGCGGGACCTGTGCACATCATTGAAGCTGTACTGGACAGTAGAGGATTTAATATGCGAACTCACAGAAACGCTGCTTCAGAGGCACGGTGAGACAGAGTTGCCCAAGGTAGACAGTATGCGTGTAAGCGCGTTGAGAAAGCACGCGGATCAAGTGTGATGCGAGGACCATTGATAGACTGCAGTTGCCCGCGTGAGAGATGCAAATGTGTGGAAGATGACGGCGTTTACGGCGAAGCATGGGACTGTGGGCACGATACATGTGTCCCTTGATTTCTCAGAGCAGTGAAAATCAACATGAGTCGTGCGACCAGCATCCGTAATCTTCGCAGCCAGTCCCCACAGAGTCTACGCTCCGCCGGGAGCGCTGATACTTCACATCAGAGTACTGCGAAGGGAAGAAGCGAGCCCGGACACCGTCTACCATTACCTGCGGAGCACGTCCTCGGCATGTACTTTACACAAATAAACTGTTGATCTCCGCAGCCCGAGCGACTGCACCGGAGTACAACCCTCCAGTAAAGCCCTGGCACGGAGTCCCGCCACGACGGGAAGCAGACGTCCATGCGGCGACGCGCAGCTTTCCTGTATATGCAGAGCTGCACAGTTAAACCGTACATCCCCTTATATATATATAAAACGGTCTACACCCCTCACGTATACTCCCGGACGAACAAAAGAAAGACAAAGCATGCACAGTGCAGGCCGTCTCCCTCCGACAGGTAAGCCCGGCCGGCGACCTCGATGCTACATCCGTTTCCGGCGGCTAGCGACTACCAGGTGAAACGGATCCACCCATGTGTATATATATATATTTGTATGTATGTAGTGTAGGAAAAAAATATAGTAAAGCCGGTGTCAACGTATACGCTTATCTGCTACATCCGTTTCCGGCGGCTAGCGACTACCAGGTGAAACGGATCCACCCATGTGTATATATATATATATTTGAATGTATGTAGTGTAGGACTCACGTTCTGAAAAAAATATAGTAAAGCCGGTGTCACATATACGCTTATCTGCCTACGTGCTGTTGCAACCTGCGTTTCGAACTGCATGCATGCGTGGTCTGAGTGTTGGCTCTTTCCACGAATCAAGCAGCATCGTGTGTAGGCAATGACGAGATACCAGATCGGTCCGAGGAGACGCCCCAATCCCGTAATGCTCGAGAAGGATCCAGATGATCTGGTCCTTCCAGTATAAGAAGGAAAAGCTGCTACTCATGACGAGGAACTTGAGCCTTCCTGCAGTTCATGTCCCTTGGTTCTTTTAGATGTGCGAATTGATGCCCTCTGCAAGATGGATGTACCTGAGTCTACGGAACACTGCTGTAACACTTTACACCGCCACAGCTTCAGCAGACGCGTCTAATTGATCGCCAGCTTATACTCACACATGCTTCAGAACTCGCTTTCCCCTCCTTCATTCACTTCTGGTTCGTACACGCAGTGGCGGCCCGCATGTATTGTGTCAGTCTGTTTGATGCTGTGCTAACCGCGGTCCCGTAATAACAAACCTACCTTCTTACAAGGGCGTCAGCTGATAAATTTTCTCCTTCATCCAAAGTTCCACTAACTAAACAAATTGTTGATTGTATTTTCCTTTTCTTTTACTCTTTCACGAACCGCTCCTCTACGAGGTGTGGTGGCTGTTCTCACTGATTTATTTTATCTTTTTAATCCCCTCATTTCGTCATTATGCCCTGATCTACCAACTTAGTAGTCCATCCCGTTGATACCATATTCACGTGTTGCCACTGTAGTGGTCAGGAGAGTTTCTGCCCTCCTATGTGTTGATGAGCTCGTACGGATGGACAGAAGCCTGCTTTTACTGCCTGAGACCGTCATATCACCTTGTGTAAGACCGTGTGTCCTTCTAGTGGTACAGTAGACCCTGCATCTTGTTTGGCGCGGAATTAGTGAACAACAATACGCTGCTGGGAAACAAGGAATTCTCTCAGCGACTTCCTCAGCTGCTGCTTCACGAGGAGCATCTTATGAGGGTAGGTGCTCCATCTGCTGCGGTGCGGATTTTTTGAAGCGTTTTTTTTATCTGGTTAAGGCTGAGGATGACCTCTCGCGCCCATACACGCGTATTGACGTCTGCGCCACATGGTGAATGAGTTGGTTGCATAGCGTCTACACCTGCTTAACGCAGCATTCGTCTCCCGTTGGGTACCCTCTGTACGTGCACCTCAGATTCCCGGCGGTGACACGTGCTACAGAAGAATTAACGCGATTCCCTAAGGCAGGCTCCACCAGGAATAGGTATCGCTGGATTCCTACTGTTTTTTCCGAGTGAAGCTCTTCCATGCAGTCTGTGGAGCATTTCGTGGCTAGCGTCTTCACCGAGCGTGTGTGGAGGTTTCTCTGCCTTGCTTCACAGCCCGGTGGATTTTCGCGTTCTCTCTAATTACCCCTGGGGAAACATCTCACGTCTTTCACTTGGAGAAGGCCGTAAGGGCTTCATTACTAGCTGATCTCAAGGTCTGCGTTTGCTTCGCCTTCTTGAGGCGGGCGCGATGTAATCTGGTACGTTCCCGATGAATGAACACACGCCACACGTCAACGATGTTAAGTTCTTCGCGTGTGCGATTGCTGCAGAATTACTCGTTGAGATACGCCCAACACAGCAACTGCGTACATAATGTTGCTCGGTATTCTTGTGCTGACGGTGTCGAGATTTCCATGTACACGCCAAATATCCAGTAGCAGGTATCCGCTACATTCTATATTACATCGCAAAGAGCAGAGCATTCTTTTCGTAATATTGGTCTCTCCTTGTGCTACCGCGTGGGCCTTGCGCTGCTAATTCCGCCTCTCTTTCCCCCGTTCCGGCTTTCCCACTCTTCTCCGTTCCTGTATTTTACCTTTCGGACGCCCAGCAGCTCCACCTTGGCGAGCGCGCGCATTCTCACTCATTTAAACAGCTCTTAGCAGTATCTCGTTCTGCACACGGGTAACTGCTGTTTTGCCTAATTCTACAGCATAAACTAAATGCGCGTGCGTTGTCTTTACATGAGAGCGGACGACAGCCTGCTTTTGAACACATTCATAACAGCGTTTCCTTTCTTTGTACGCGCTTGCAACGCGCCCGGCGAGCTTTCAGAAGTCCACGGTCATCTTCGTGACGGAGTTCCCTTTCTGACATTTCCGAGCATTCCGCAGTTTTCTTCGGTAGTAGATGAATCACAGAGATTGGCTCTAAATATCAAGGCCTATCTTGCCGCACTCTTTCTTTCTGTACAGGCCGCATTGTTGAAACTAACGGTTTTGAAGCTTTTCCGCGAAAGAGCAACTGCAGGAAACTGCCCTAGATTCAGAGGTCTTCCCTGAGGCACTTTCCTCCTTATGCAGGCCACCGTCATGACGCTCTCGTTTTTAGCAGCTATGACCTGTGCGGCCGATGGGAAATCTGATCATTCACGTCGACCTCGCCGTAAGGTGTGGTCATCGCGTGTGCAATTAGTGGCCCTCCCATGTCTTCCATAATAAGTTCTGTGGTTTCAGCGGAGAGTAGAAAGGAGGGAGAACTATTGTTCAAAGCAGGGGCCTGGTTGGTTGTGGGCAGCAGAATGCGCCATTTGACATGGCGTGAGGTGTATAGATACTGCAGTGTGTGCACAGGCAAGTGCGCCGCCCACAGAGCGATGGCGAAGTACGAAAGCTGCTCTGGGAGGCTCGAAGGGAAAGACGACTTGCAAGAGTTGATCCTCAAAACCGAGGCAGTGGTGGACGATATCCTCAAGCCGCAAATGGAGCAAATGCAGAAACGACAAGAGAAGGTTTTCGAGGAACTTATTGATGTGTAAGCACCTGCGCTCTGTACGTACGTCTGTAGCAGCCACCTTTGTCAGCTCGTCGGTTACAGCCGTAGGCTCCTTATGTATAAGCAGTATATACCTCCGCCAGAGCCACCCTTTTGGCCTCTTCCGCTACAACGGAAGGGTCGAGGTACTGATGTTGTGTAAGCGTTTGCAATAAGTGCTGCATGCGCAGCGTATTCTGGCTCCGTGACAATGTCGGAATGACGGACCAACTCGCCGGTCCACATATTCCTTCAGGATTACAACGGCACATGTCACGCCTAGATGCGTGCATGTACCCCCACGTGAGCAGAAGCTGGCGCTTTTTTCAAGATTCATATCAGCCATTACCACTGCTTATTTCTTTCACGTACTAAGCTGCCTCAGTTCAGGTGAATAACACTTGTACTGGTGTACCCGACTACCCGTATATGCGTGGCTCCCCGTCTGCGGGGGGGGCAGGCGTCTTTCTGATTCCGATTTTCAGGCCCTGGTGTCGGCCGGAAGCCTTTCCCGTTGCTTCTGTCCTGCCTTTGACAGTCAGATGTTAGCGGATCACATCGACCTGCTAGAGCTCCAACAAGAAGAGCGGCTGCGGGAGCACAGACGCCAGGTGCAGCAGCTACAAGAGCTGCACGTGCTGCAGGCGGGTCTAGCAGGGCATACACCAGCGGGGTCCTCGGCTGCACCAGTCGCGCACTCAAAGAAGGAAAATCGGCTTGACAGCTGTACGCCGGTTCCTGTAGAAGCTCTGGTAAACGTCGGCTCCCACGTGTACCTCAAGGTTATGGGGTAAGGATTTTGAGGACGGTATAATTTTGGTCGCGCTCGTGCTCGCGCATGGAGGCGTGCAGGGAGTCTTACTGCCACACGCCGCAAGGATGTTGATACGTTTAGACGTATGCGTATAGGTGTGTACCTCCGCCTAGATCAAAGTGCCGTATCGCTCGACGGCCTTGTAGATCTCCCCCAAGGGGACCTGAGGTGTTTACACTATCTGATGTGAACTGTGGTACGTTTATTTCCGCTAGGATCTGCATGTAAGCACGTCCGTGCATTGTTTCTACATGTGTGACGTGCACCTCTGCACCGGCTGCTGTTGCTTGGCTAACACTCGCTTAGCGTGCCCTTGTTCGTAAACACGATCAGAGTAGCCAACGGCGATTGCGCGGCGGACATGAGCACAATAGACGCCTGTGCTCTAGCCATATGCGGTGCCGCCAGCGTGTATATTTCGTTATGTACAAGCTGACGGTGGAAGGAACCAGAGGACACAGTCTCGGTGCAGAATTATGTGTATGCATTGCGGCCCTCGCCTTATGTACGCGTACCGACCCGTATACGCTATAGTTCTATACCGCTGTACATCACTCACGCCGTTAGAGCGGTACCTCTGGAAGAACTGGAGGCTGGTAAAGAGCACGGAGAATCAACGAAGTGACTAGCCAAGGTGGACACCGTAGACGGTAAAGGCGTAGCAGAGACGTGTTCCCGGGAGGCGTATTACCACGGGACTTGAGCGTCTGCAGGACAGCCTTCTTCTGGAGCGGCATCTCTGTGCATCGAGATTTGTACACGTAGGGACTAATGTCTTTGCTACTGAGCTGGCGCGTGTCTCTGTTTACACGTCAAGCCGTCATCTCCGTGCACGAATCTAGGCGCGCGCTCCTTCCTAATCTGCGTTCGTGTTCAAAAGTCAACGTATGTGTTATACAAGCTGCATATGTGACGGTAGTGCGGTCGGTTTTTCTGAAAAGTTCCGCGAGCATTTTTCACTCGGTTCAGTGAGACCGACTATGGATTTGCAGGGACGACGTCGGAAGGATTTTGGTGAACGTCGGCTTTCAGTTTTTTCTCGAGATGACTCTGCGAGAGGCGGCCGAATACCTTCGAAAAAAGGAGCATCTTTTGACAAAGTAAGCAGTCACGAAAAACAGGCCGTAGGCTCCTTGTTATGTTATTTCAAATTGCGTCTGACCGTGCTAGACGCCTGTGGACGGGCTGGACTTTGATGCAGCGCTGCTGCCTCCGAGGTAAGGCATGAAGCGCTTTCAAGGGCGAACAACGAGCGGGAGACTATAACCTTACCATTCTCCAAATGCTTCTACTTATCATGCTGCCACGCAATCTCCCGCACATCCCCCCTATGGTCGGCCAGCCTACGCGACTGTGTGTGACCACATCCCTTTGATTCCGAATACATTGCGTGGGTTGTGTAGACACGCCTGATGTAAGCATACCCTGACGTGTGCGGGCGTACAGGTCTGTCTCAACCCGGTATTTGTCTGTCACCTGCGGGACAGATGGGACGTGTATGCCGATGTGCGCTGCAGAAAATACGACTACTGGAGCGTCAAGTGCTCGGGCGTGAAGGCGCAAATACAGGTGGTAAGTCTGTCGAGCGGTTCGGCGTTTTGCCGAAGGTATGCGGTACCGCGCAAATGAATCGAAAACTTGGTGAGCTGTTCTTACCTCCCGTAGGCGTCAGATCTCACGTCGGCAGCGGCGCTGCAAATGCGTGAGACAGAGTAAGACAGTTTCTAAAGGAAACGAAAGAACAGTGTCTAGTTGTTTAAGAAGGCAGGGTATGTGGTCGGGGCGTCGAAATCGAAAGTATCACCCAGCCTTTCCGCGTAGTAGGTCACCTCCACTAGCTCTTCCCGGCCCCGCGCAATCGGTAGGATGCAGTCTTCTCGGCGGGCACGTATATGTGATAATATATAAGCACACCACCCGAGGCACTTTCCTCAAACAAGCATGTCAACAATCATGGGTAATTCCTCTATGGCTCATGCGAGCAGTACACTGGTGGGTCACTCAACGCTTTCAGCTCGATGTAGCTAGTAACGGCGACAAATAGTGAGGCGCTGTAGAAAGTCGAGCGTAATACGGCGACCTGTGCCTTCTCTGAGCGGAGGCACGGAACATGTTGGGCTGAATGTGTTACCTAGGCGTTGAATGTGATCTCTGCAAGCTGGTAACGGGGTCGGCAGATTGGTATCAACCGGGGCTGGCCCGCGCTGCAAACAGCAGCACCTCTAATCTGCAGTATTACAGGCGGTATACTAGGTTCAGCCTTATCCGGTTAATTTTCCTCTGTATGCAAGCACTACGGCGGAATTCGAGTCTGTGTCCACTTCAAACGACACCAGCCCTAATCTGGAGTATTAGAGGCGGTACACTGACGTCAACGCTGGCCGGCTTATTCGCTTCTGTATGCAAGCGCTGCCTCGAAACTCGCGTTTGCGTCCGCCAACAACGCCGCGAAACTGTTTGGCGGCTACGGGAGACATCACGGGAAGTACAATACAGGTGTACTGGTGCTTCAGATGCCAGTATTCCTCTCCCGGTATATAGCGTGCGGAAGAGTAGCCCTCTAGACTTGAACCTCATACTGTGTACAGACACAGAAGGCGTGACAACGGCCGCAATGTTCTTCGCTAGCCATTGCGGGACTACTTTGCCGTGTTCACTTCTGTCCCAGCACATGATAACCAGCCTTATGTTTGAAGATTGTTTCTGTTAGAAGATACTGGTTCCGTGATCAAATCGGGGCCCGGTCGTGGTAGGCGTAATACCGGCCCCATTTCTCGATAAAGTGCAGGATCGCCCGGCCGTAGGGAGCGTACAACGTGGGTGTGCCTCCGCATGTAGGGCCGGGCTAATTACAATTGTACGCTGCAAGAACTAGGTAAGGACGTAACTTTGCGCGTGCACCCAGTGAGCACTCGCGAGTATCTGGAAGAGCTTTCTTTGCTCAGCACGACAGCAAGGACAAGCGCGTTACTGCAACCAGGGTAGCGTATGTCTCTGAATGTTTTTAAACGATCTGTTCCCACGCAAAAAGGTGGCTGCCACAGTCCCTCTCACCAGGGTCCTCGTAGGCGCATAACTGTCCTAGGGGCTCTTGCATAAGCACGTACCGGCTTGGTCTCTCTTCACGCGGAATGTGGCTATTACTACTCCCTTCCACGAGGACCTTCGGAGGCGCACAACTCTCGGAGGAGCTGTTGCACGGACACACAGCGCTTGTTACTTCTTAGGCGAGTTCGCGCTGTTTTAGATTAGGACGTGAGAGCGGCGCGGCTCTTTCCGGAAGTTACTTTTGCATATGTATCGGTAGCATCCGCAATAAGAAATCTTCTTTGGGCCCTAATTTCCCCGTGTGTGCGGCGTTACAAAATCGGTTCAGCTGCTGCAATCTATAGCGGGCCCTTGTGGAGGAGCCGTCTCTTCGGATGCTTCCGCTTGAGTGAGAGGAGGAGGGGCGACAACTAGGACTGAGGTAATCCGAAAGTGCCGGGCTGCGCGCCCCCTGCTAATATTCTCAGGCTGCTTGACGACAACGACATGCGTCTGCCGGCCTGCGTATGACTACAGAGTCATATCCGGGGTAGGCTAGACTCTGCGTTCTACTGCGGTGGCAGCTGTGTAGGCCCCACGTGAGACGATGTAATGTGCTTTCAGCATAGCTGGGGATGAACGGCGAGCGAGGTCCACACTTGTCGATTTTCTGCGGAGGAGTGTCAAGTTGAAGCTGCATGGCAAGGTGATGTCAACGGGTGCTGATACTCTCTCTGCGCAGCGGATAAAACTGCTCGCGACTTTTCTCGTTCAGGCGGAGCCCTGGACCCGTAATTGTGCGCCGCGTCATGCACAGTATAGGGAGCTGCCCTTTACTTCCCCTTCTTCGTCTTAGCTGCAGAGCTTGCGCATACATCAATTCTTGAATTGTGCTGGACCGTTTTCTCCGGTACTTGCCTGCCGAGCCTACGCGCCAAACGATATGTTCACTACTGAGGTTCGCGTCTCAGCGTCCCGGAGTCGTGTACGGTAGGAACTGGTACGTCTGAGGGTTGTTGAGGTATTCCGCTCCCCTCAGACCAATCAGCCGAATCTGCGCCTGTGGGCGAGTTCAAGGGATGGCAGAGTGTATAGCGTCGCGCGTGTCGGCCGTTTCTTCTATTATGCGTACGGCCTCGCCGATTCGTTGACCGTCTTCCGCCGTCCCACCACGTACGGCGCCAGTACCCACAGCCCACGTTTAGGAGCGCATCACGGTGCCGAAGCGCAGCCGTTCATCATGAGGGGAGCAGACCGCCTATAGCATCAGCAGCTGCCAGTCCGGTATGTGTACGTCCCATGTACTACTCTTAATATCGTATTACGCCCTGCAGGTGGACTCCTCCATTTCCACATCTAAACCTAGACACATACAGTTGTATACGTTCTGCTAGCATGGAGCCAAGTACATGCGTTGCCGGTGCCTCAATTCAACGGCAAGCAGAGCGGACCTCATCATTAGACATTACAAGACATACACGTGTGAGTACACCGTACGTGCGAAGCTTCCCTCCGGCACGCCAGCAGTCACGGGCGCCTGGGCCCATGCGTCCATTTGCGTGGACAAAACGTAGTCTGCGCCCGCACATCAGGTGCGAGGCGACCAACGACATACTGTTATGGCGTTCGTAGCAGCGGCGTACGCGTGCATGTGCACCGCTCATGTAGAAACGGGCCCACCTCCAAGTCCTGGAGATGCACTGCTCTCCGCAGAAGGTCTACTGACGACCGGAAGACAAGCCGGGGCATCAGTGTTTACCCCGGAGGGAAGAGACCTTGGAGATGCGCCTGAGCGTATTTCCCACATATAAGTAGTTTGAGGGCTCACACACAAGTTTAGCAGATACGTAGGTGAGGGGTGAGTCTCAACGATCACCATGTGTTCCTCTCCCCTGATTTGTGTAGCAAACTATGCGGCTAGGTGGCTGCGGGCGAGCAACACACTAGATCCTGGCCGACGGCAGGCTCTAACGCACTGGGCAGGCGTAGCACCGCGTATATGCGCGATTGCGCTGTTTTGTATGAATTTGACAGCAGCTTGTGGGGCAACAAATCGCAGC